TTTAAAAAACACTCCTTCACCAAAGTTTGCAAAGCACTGCTCTATATCACATTTTGTAAACAACTTCAGACAAAACAGCTCTAGTTTACCATGTTCTCACTTGCTAACCAGGAGGGGGTTGTATTAGATCAGCCATGAGCTTCTCTAGGTCTGTAATTCTCTGTGTATACAGTATATCTCGTTTACCTATGGGTGGATTATTCACTTGTGAATCATCCATGACAAACTTTTATATCTCCACTGATGTTTTCCTGCCTCTCCTCATAGCTCTGCACCATCTCTCCCACTGTGAGACTGTGTAGGTCTAAAGAACATTTTAATAATAGCCCAATCAAAATGTAATTAAGAAAGGTAATTTGGCACTAAAAATATATAATACATAACAAAAATGAATTCTAGAAAGTTCTTGCCATCTGCTATTTTGAATTACCACTTCTCTCCTCCACTGAGATTTAAATATTTATATAAATGTATTGAAGTATGCATTTCTTTTTGAACTCCCTGCATGTGCCTTATCACAGTAGACATCATAATTTATTATAATCATTTGTGTAACGTTTCAGCTTCCTCGCTAAACATTTAGCTTCACAAGAATGGAATGCATTTCTGTCTTACCACTTAGTTCTACTGTTTAGATAACCTCTGACGTATTAATAAATACTTATGTGATTGAATGAGTGAATGGATGAATAAATGAATTTCTTAGAGGAAGAAACATGGATGGATTAGTCTTTCATTTCTTTATTGTCTCCTGAGTATTTCTTGTCCACTGCCTTCCTTTTGTTCCATAATCTCTGAGCACAAATTATATAGTTTGAATAGAATCTAAGATTTCATGTGTCTGTTCAGGGAGCCATAGTTACAAGATGTCTTAATTCCTTCTCAGGTTTTTGTAAAGTGTCAAATGCCCAGAATAACTGTTATCTGTTAAGTCTACTTCTGATAAGTTATCAACCTCTCTCCCTTTCTGTTTTGGATTAGACATCATAAATTTTGCTTTTAGATTTTTATTGATGATCACATCACATCTCTCTTGCTTGCATTGTATAAGCAGGATTTTGGTTTTGTCTTCTTTTTTTAATGTATTTAGCCAGCAGGAGCTTAAAAAGCAAAGTGTTTTAAGTTAAGAAATTACTTTTTTTCTCCAGAGAAAGTGTAGACAAAGCAAGCTGAAAGAGACACCCAATTACATAAACTTCTGTCTCTGGGCATGAGATCCCAAGGTCTGCATGCTTCACATGTAATACTAACAAGGCCTTCCTTTTTGGATTTACTCTGCTTGGAGTAAGAAATGACATCACAATATGCATTACTCCCAGTGCTTTCAAAATGTGCTGACTTGCTGAAAGTTTCCAAATGGCTTCTTTGTAAGCTGTTAATGACCATCTGGCTTAGCTGTAGATAAACAAGTTTCAACATATGGACCGTAACACATACATGGCACTGCTTCACTAGTGCAGAAAATTAAGAAAAGGTCACTCTCCTGACATGAGAAACTCATGCTAAAGATGCAGCACCATGTAGCGGAGGGCCCGCCCTAAGTTGCACATAGGAAAGCTTAATTCCAGCCCCTTCCCGCCCACTCACTGCACATGTCACTTGATTATACCAAGTCTCCTGGATTTCCTCATCTGAAAATTAAAAAGAATACCAGGTCAACGTTGGCTTTCCTCCTTCTCTTTCCCTCCTTCTTTCCCTCTCTCCTTTTTTTCCTTCCTTCCTATTAAGAAATATTTATCGATCTTTTATAGTTCTCAGCACATGGGTCTTTTACCTCCTTTTTTAGGTTTATTCCTAGGTATTTTATTGTTTTTGAAGTGATTTTAAACAAGATTGTTTTTTACTTTCTCTTTCTGATATTTCATTGTTAGTGTAAAGAAATGCAACACATTTCTGTATATTAATCTTTTATCCTACTACCTTGCAGAATTCATTTATTATTTCTAATAGTTTTGTCTGGAGTCTTTAGGGTTTTCTCTATACAGTATCATGTCATCTGCAGATAATGACAAGTTACCTCTTCCCTTCCAATTTGGATACCTTTGATTTCTTTTTCTTGCCTTACTGCTGTCATTAGCACTTCCAATACTATGTTGAATAGAAGTGGTAAGAGTAGACATCCTTGTATTGTTTCAGATTTTAGCAGGAAGGCTTTCAGCTTTTCACTGTTGAGTATTATGTTGCCTGTGAGTTTGTCATAAATAGCTTTTATTATGTTGAGATATGTTCCCTCTATACCTACTTTGGTGAGACTTTTTGTCATGAATAGATGTTGAATTTTATCAAATGCTTTTTCTGCATCTATTGAAATGATCATGTGGTTTTGTCTTTTTTTTATTAATGTGATGTATCACACTGATTGATCTATATATGTTGAACCATCCTTGCTGCCCTGGAATGAATCCAACTTGATCATGGTGTATGATCCTTTTTATATATTGTTGGATTCGATTTGCTAAAATTTTGTTGAGGATATTTACATCTATATTCATCAAACGTATTGGCCTGTAATTTTCCTTTTTTGTAATACTACAAAGCTACAGTAATCAAAGCAGTGTGGTACTACTGGGCATATACTTAGAGAAAACAGTAATTCAAAAAGATCCATGCACCCCAATGTTCATTGCAGCACTATTTACAATAGCCAGGTCATGAAAGCAACCTAAATGCCCATCGACAGACAAATGGATAAAGAAGATGTGGTACATATATATAATGGAATATTACTCAGCCATAAAAAGGAACAAAATTGGGTCATTTGTAAAGACGTGGATGGACCTAGAGACTGTCATACAGATGAAGTAAATCAGAAAGAGAAAAACAAATATGCTATATTAACACATATATGTGGAATCTAGAAAAATGGTACAGATGAACCAGTTTGCAAGGCAGAAATAGAGACACAGATATAGAGAACAAATGTATGGACACCAAGGGGGGAAAGGGTGGGGTGGGATGAACTGGGAGATTGGAATTGACATATATGCACTAATATGTATAAAACAGATAACTAATGAGAACCTGCTGTATAGCACAGGGAACTCTACTTCATTTCACTGTACACCAGAAACTAACACAACACTGTAAAACAACTATACCCCAATTAAAAAAAGAAAAAAAAAAGTGTGGTATTGGCACAAAAAAAAGACATATAGATTCAACAGAACAGAATAGAGAGCCCAGAAAGAAACCTATAAACCTATGGTCAATCAATCTTAGACAAAGGAGGCAAGAATATACAATAGAGAAAGGACTGTCTCTTCAGCAAGTGGTATTGGGAAAGCTGGACAGCCACATGTAACTCAATGAAGTTAGTGCACATCCTCACCCCATACACAAAAATAAACTCAAAATGGTTTAAAGACCTAAATATAATACATGATACCATAAAACTCCTAGAAGAGAATATAGGCAAAAGTTTCTTGGACATAAATCATAGCAATATTTTCATAGATCAGTCTCCCAAGGAAAAGAAATAAAAACAAAAAAAAGTACATGGTACCTATTCAAACTTAAAAGCTTTTGCACAGCAAAGAAAACTATCAACAAAAAGAAAAAACAACCTACAGAATGGGAGAAAGTATTTGCAAACAATGCAACTGACAAGGGGTTAATTTCCAAAATATACTAACAACTTACACAACTCAATGTAAAAAAAAAAAAAAGCCCAAACAACCCAATCAAAAAATGGGCAGAAGACCTAATAGACATTTCTCCAAGGAAGACATACAGATGGCCAGCAAGCACATGAAAAGATGCTCAACATCACTAATTATTAGAGAAATGCAAATCAAAACCACAATGAAGTATCATCGCACACCGGTCAGAATGGCCATCATCAAAAAGTCTACAAAGAGGGACTTCCCTGGTGGCGCAGTGGTTGAGAGTCTGCCTGCTGATGCAGGGGACACAGGTTCATGTCCCGGTCTGGGAAGATCCCACATGCCATGGAGCGGCTGGGCCCGTGAGCCATGGCCGCTGAGCCTGCGTGTCTGGAGCCTGTGCTCTGCAACGGGAGAGGCCACAACAGTGAGAGGCCCATGTACTGCAAAAAAAAAAAAAAAAAAAGAATCCGCCTGCCAATGCAGGGGACATGAGTTCGAGCCCTGGTCCAGGAAGATCCCACATGCCATGGAGTAACTGAGCCCGTGAGCCACAATTACTGAGCCTGTGCTCTAGAGCCCGCGAGCCACAACTACTGAGCCTGTGTGCCACAACTGCTGAAGCCCAGAAACCTAGAGCCCATGTTCCACAACAAGAGAAGCCACCGCAATGAGAAGCCAGTGCACAATGAAGAGTAGCCCCCACTCGCCACAACTAGAGAAAGACCACGTGCAGCAACGAAGACCCAATGCAGCCAAAAATAAATAAATAAAATACATTAATTTTAAAAAAAGTCTACAAAGAATAAATGCTGGAGAGGGTGTGGAGAAAAGGAAACTCTCCTACACTGCTGGTGGAAATGTAAATTGATATAACCACTATGGAAAACAGTATGGAGATTCCTTAGGAAAGTAAAAATATAGCTACCAAACTAAAAATAGAGCTACTATATGACTCACCAATCCCACTCCTAAGCACATAACTGGAAAAGACAAAAACTCTAATTTGAAAAGATACATCCACCCCAATGTTCACAGTAGCACTATTTAAAATAGCCAAGACATGGAAACAACCTAAGTCTGCACCAACAGATGAATGCATAAAGATGTGATACACACCCACACACACTAGAATATTACTCAGCCATAAAAAAGAATGAGATAATACCATTTGCAGAGATTGGTTCAAGATGGCAGAGTAGAAGGACGTGCTCTCACTCCCTTTTGCGAGAGCACCGGAATCACAGCTAACTGCTGAACAATCATAGACAGGAAGACACTGGAACTCACCAAAAAGATATCCCACACCCAAAGACAATGGAGAATCCATAATGAGATGGTAGCAGGGGCGCAATCACAATAAAATCAAATCCCATAACTGCTGGGTGGGTGACTCACAAACTGGAGAAAACTTATACCACAGAAGTCCACCCACTGGAGTGAAGGTTCTAAGCTCCACGTAAGGCTTCCCAACCTGGGGGTCCGGCAACAGGAGGAGGAATTCCTAGAGAATCAGACTTTGAAGGCTAGCGGGATTTGATTACAGGACTTCGACAGGACTGGGGGAAACAGAGACTCCACCCTTGGAGGGCACACACAAAGTAGTGTGCGCATCAGGACACAGGGGAACGAGCAGTGACCCCCATAGGAGACTGAACCAGACCTACCTGCTAGTGTTGGAGGGTCTCCTGCAGAGGTGTGGGGTGGCTGTGTCTCATCGTGAGGACAAGGACACTGGCAGGAGAAGTTCTGGGAAGTACTCCTTGGTGTGAGCCCTCCCAGAGTCTGCCATTAGCCCCAACAAAGAGCCCAGGTAGCCTCCAGTGTTGGGTCGCCTCAGGCCAAAGAACCAAAAGGGAGGGAACCCAGCCCAACCCATCATCAGGCGAGAGGATTAAAGTTTTACTGAGCTCTGCCTACCAGAGCAACAGCCAGCTCTACCCACCACCAGTCCCTCCCATCAGGAAACCTGCACAAGGCTCTTAGATAGCCTAATCCACCAGAAGGCAGACAGCAGAAGCAAGAAGAACTACAATCCTGCAGCCTGTGGAACAACAGCCACATTCACAGAAACATAGACAAGATGAAAAGGCAAAGGGCTATGTACCAGATGGAGGAACAAGATAAAACCCCAGAATAACAACTAAATGAAGTGGAGATAGGCAACCTTCCAGAAAAAGAATTCAGAATAATGATAGTGAAGATGATCCAGGACCTCAGAAAAACAATGGAGGCAAAGATAGGGAAGATGCAAGAAATGTTTAACAAGGACCTAGAAGAATTAAAGAACAAACAAACAGAGATGAACAATACAATAACTGAAATGAAAAATACACTAGAGGGAATCAATAGCAGAATAACTGAGGCAGAAGAACGGATAAGTGACTTGGACGACAGAATGGTGGAATTCACTGCTGTGGAACAGAATAAAGAAAACAGAATGAAAAGAAATGAAGACAGCCTAAGAGACCTCTGGGACAACAGTAAACTCAACAAAATTCGCATTATAGGGGACCCAGAAGGAGAGGAGAGAGAGAAAGGAGCCAAGAAAATATTTGAAGACATTATAGTCGAAAACTTCCCTAACATGGGAAAGGAAATAGCCACCCAATCCAGGAAGTGAAGAGAGTCCCAGGAAGGATAAACACAAGGAGAAACACACCGAGACACGTAGTAATCAAACTGGTGAAAATTAAAGACCAAGAAAAATTATTGAAAGCAGCAAGGGAAAAACGACAAATAACATACAAGGGAACTCCCATAAGGTTAACAGCTTATTTCTCAGCAAAAACTCTACAAGCCAGAAGGCAGTGGCATGACATATTTAAAGTGATGAAAGGAAAGACCTACAACCAAGATTACTCTAACCGGCAAGGATCTCATTAAGATTCAATGGAGAAATCAAAATCTTTACAGACAAGCAAAAGCTAAGACAATTCAGCACCACCAAACCAGCTCTACAACAAATGCTAAAGGAACTTCTCTAAGTGGGAAACACAAGAGAAGAAAAGGACCTCCAAAAACAAACCCAAAACAATTAAGAAAATGGGAATAGGAACATACATATCGATAATTACCTTAAACATGAATGGATTAAATGCTCCAACCAAAAGACACAGGCTTGCTGAATGGATATGAAAACAAGACCCATCTATATGCTGTCTACAAGAGACCCACTTCAGACCTAGGGACACATACAGACTGATAGTGAGGGGATGGAAAAATATATTCCATGCAAATGAAAATCAAAAGAAAGCTGGAGTAGCAATACTCATATAAGATAAAATAGACCTTAAAATAAAGAATGTTACAAGAGACAAGGAAGGACACTACACAATGATCAAGGGATCGATCCAAGAAGAAGATGTAACAATTATAAATATATATGCACCCAATATAGGAGCACCTCAATACATAAGGCAACTGCTAACAGCTATAAAAGAGGAAATCGACAGTAACACAATAATAGCGGGGGACCTTAACACCTCACCTACACCAATGGACAGACTATCCAAAAAGAAAATTAATAAGAAAACACAAGCTTTAAATGACACAATAGACCAGATAGATTTAATGGATATTTATAGGACATTCCATCCAAAAACAGCAGATTACACTTTCTTCTCAAGTGCGCACGGAACATTCTCCAGGATAGATCACATCTTGGGTCACAAATAAAGCCTCAGTAAATTTAAGAAAATCGAAATTATATCAAGCATCTTTTCTGACCACAATGCTATGAGATTAAAAATCAATTACAGGGAAAAAAATGTAGAAAACACAAACACACGGAGGCTAAGCAATACGTTACTAAATAACCAAGAGATCAATGAAGAAATCAAAGGGAAATCAAAAGATACCTAGAGACAAATGACAATGAAAACATGACGATCCAAAACCTATGGGACGCAGCAAAAGCAGATATAAGAGGGAAGTTTATAGCAATACAAGCCTACCTCAAGAAACAAGAAAAATCTCAAATAAACAATCTAACCTTACACCAAAAGGAACTAGAGAAAGAAGAACAAACAAAACCCAAAACTAGCAGAAGGAATATCAGAGCAGAAATAAATGAAATAGAAACAAAGAAAACAACAGCAAAGATCAATAAAACTTAAAGCTGGTTCTTTGAGAAGAAAAACAAAATTGATAAAAAATTTACAAGACTCATCAAGAAAAAGAGGGAGAGGACTCAAATCAATAAAATTAGAAATGAAAAAGGAGAAGTTACGACAGACACCACAGAAATATAAAGCATCCTAAGAGATTACTACAAGCAACTCTATGCCAATAAAATGGACAGCCTGGAAGAAATGGACAATTCTTAGAAAACACAACCTTCTGAGACTGAACCAGGAAGAAATAGAAAATATAAACAGACCAATCACAAGCACTGAAAATTGAAACTGTGATTAAAAATCTTCCAACAAACGGAAGTCGAGGACCAGATGGTTTCATAGGTGAATTCTATAAATCATTTAGAGAAGAGCTAGCTCCCATTCTTCTCAAACTCTTCAAAAAACTGCAGAGGAAGGAACACTACCAAACTCATTCTATGAGGCCACCATCACCCTGATACCAAAATCAGACAAAGATACTACAAAAAAAGAAAATTACAGACCAATATCACTGATGAATATAGATGCAAAAAATGCTCAAGAAAATACTAGCAAACAGAATCCAACAAAGCATTAAAAGCATTATATACCATGATCAAGTGGGATTTCTCCCAGAGATGCAAGGATTCTTCAATATACGCAAATCAATGTGATACACCATATTAACAAATTGAAGAAGAAAAACCATATGATCATCTCAACAGATGCAGATGTTGACAAAATTCAACACCCATTTATGATAAAAACTCTCCAGAAAGTGGGCAAAGAGGGAACCTACCTCAACATAAATAAGGCCATATACGACAAACCAACAGCAAACATCATTCTCAATGGTGAAAAATGGAAAGCATTTCCTCAAAGATCAGGAACAAGACAAGGATGTCTACTCTCACCCCTATTATTCAACATAGTTTTGGAAGTCCTAGCCCCAGCAATCAGAGAAGAAAAAGAAATAAAAGGAATACAAATTGCAAAAGAAGAAGTAAAACTGTCACTGTTTGCAGATGACATGATACTATACATAGAGAATCCTAACGATGCCACCAGAAGACTACTAGAGCTAATCAATGAATTTGGTAAAGTTGAAGGATACAAAATTAATGCACAGAAATCCCTTGCATTCCTATACACTAATGATGAAAAATCTGAAAGAGAGGAAACACTCCCATTTACCATTGCAACAAAAATAATAAAATACCTAGGAATAAACCTACCTAGGGAGACAAAAGACCTGTATACAGAAAACTATAAGTCACTGATGAAAGAAATTAAAGATGATACAAACAGATGGAGAGATATACCATGTTCTTGGATTGGAAGAATCAATATTGTGAAAATGACTATACTACCCAAAACAATCTACAGATTCAATGCAATCCCTATCAAATTACCAATGGCATTTTTCACAGAACTAGAACAAAAAGTTTCACAATTTGTATGGAAACACAAAAGACCCCGAATAGCCAAAGCAATCTTGAGAACGAAAAATGGAGCTGGAGGAATCAGGCTCCCAGACTTCAGACTATACTACTACAAAGCTACAGCCATCAAAACAACATGGTACTGGCACAAAAACAGAAATATAGATCAACGAAACAGGATAGAAGGCTCAGTGTTAAACCCATGCACCTATGGCCCACTAATCTATGACAAAGGAGGCAAGGATATACAATGGAGAAAAGACAGTCTCTTCAATAAGTGGTGCTGGGAAAACTGGACAGCTACATGTAAAAGAATGAAATTAGAACACTCCCTAACACCATACACAAAAACAAACTCAAAATGGATTAAAGACCTAAATGTAAGATCAGACACTATAAAATTCTTAGAGGAAAACATAGGAAGAACACTCTTTGACATAAACCACAGCAAGATCTTTTTGATCCACCTCCTAGAGTAATGGAAAGAAAAACAAAAATAAACAAATGGGACCTAATGAAACTTAAAAGCTTTTGCAAAGCAAAGGAAACTACAAACAAGACAAGAAGACAACCCTCAGAATGGGAGAAAATATTTGCAAACGAATCAATGGACAAAGGATTAATCTCCAAAATATATAAACAGCTTATGCAGCTCAATATTTTAAAAAATGAATAACCTAATCCAAAAATGGGTGGAAGACCTAAATAGACATTTCTCCAAAGAAGACATACAGATGGCCAAGAAGTACATGAAAAGCTGCTCAACATCACTAATTATTAGAGAAATGCAAATCAAAACTACAATGAGGTATCACCTCACACCAGTTAGAATGGGCATCATCAGAAAATCTACAAACAACAAATGCTGGAGAGGGTGTGGAGAAAAGGGAACCCTCCTGCACTGTTGGTGGGAATGTAAATTGATACAGCCACTATGGAGAACAGTATGGAGGTTCCTTAACAAACTAAAAATAGAGTTACCATATGACCCAGCAATCCCACTACTGGGCATATACCCAGAGAAAACCATAATTCAAAAAGACATGCATCCCAATGTTCACTGCAGCACTATTTACAATAGCCAGGTCATGGAAGCAACCTAAATGCCCATCGACTGATGAATGGATAAAGAAGATGTGGTACATATGTACAGTGGAATATTACTCAGACATAAAAAGGAATGAAATTGGGTCATTTGTAGAGACGTGGATGAATCTAGACTGTCATATAGAGTGAAGTAAGTCAGAAAGAGAAAAACAAATATCGTATATTAACGCATATATGTGGAACCTAGAAAAATGGTATAGATGAACCGGTTTGCAGGGCACTAATTGAGACACAGATGTAGAGAGCAACCCTATGGACACCAAGGTGGGAAAGCGGTGGGGGGTAGGGGTGGTGGTGTGACGAACTGGGAGATTGGAATTGACATATATACACTAATATATATATAAAATGGATAACTAATAAGAACCTGCTGTATAAAAAAATAAATAAAATATAATTCAAAAAAGAAACAAAAAAGAAAAACAGAAAAAAATAAAACCACTTACAGGCATCTCAAGCACATAACATCATGGTAAACGCTTTAAGAATTTATGAAACAATTTCCAGAAAACCTAGGCTCTATGAGTGCCTCTTGTTTAATATTTACAGAATCAAACTAAGGCAACAGTCACTATGTTATCTCTTACAAGTACATTACTGCTCAGTAATCCTTTCCCAACATTCAGCCTTACCAAAAGATGACAGCTGATATCCTAGAGTGAGAAGAGAGATTAGAATAGTCATTCTTGCTGAACAGTCCAAAAATATATGTAAAATGTTTATCTCAGTGATCTTCCCAATTCTTAGTTAAAACAAAAGCTGTACCTTTGGCACAAATTATATCATAGGTGAAATAGTATAAATTGTTTGACATTTTTTCTCATTCTCTCTCAATTTCTACCTTTTCCTTTCCTTTGGCTGCCATACATGGAAAGCACAGTGTCCAATGTCCAGCCTCTGTAGCCAGAATGAAGCAGAGAGTTCAAGGATCAGGCGTTCAAGTCAGGCAGGATAAAGAGCCAATATGAAAATCTAAGGTCCTAATAAAAAAAATTAAACACATATGAAAACCTGCATCAACCCAATTAACCATAATGTCCTGTCTTAAACTACAGGAAAGAAACATGTCGTTCCCTACAAACCGCTACAGCACGTACTATACTATATGGTGACAAGCTGAGAAATGTCTGCCTTCTGATGGCAAATTCCTCAAAAGGAAGGACTGACTTTACGCATTCTGGTTCCCTCGATGTCCACAGTGCTGAATGTAGCAGGAACCCAATAAATGCTCATTAATCAAATCAAGGAGTCACTGTTTTTTTTTTTTTAAAGTTACAAAATGGATGCAATTAATTACAGAACTGTCTTAACTACCTGTTAGGATGGTAGCAGATATATAAAGTTTGCCCTTCTGTTATTCCATGTAGAGCGACATTTATAACATCAGACCTTCAATTAAAAGTCATTTAAGTTGCTTTATTACAGCTACAAATAAACTTTATTTGATGTAATGTAATAAAACATTTTCAAATTTAACAACATTTATCTGACCAGAAATAATCATTTAAATTATGAATATAATTATTTACAGTTACTTTAGCAAATCTGCGGTTCAGGAATTTGTACAAGCTTTGTTGGAAAGGATAGTGCCCACCTCCCCTTTCAGAAAGGCAGACCCTTCCCCGTGTGTTGTAAGAAGCAATGTCAGTGAAAGTTGGAAGAAATCCACCATCCACGTTGGAATTCCACATTATCCTGTGAGAGAACAGCTATATATATTATAGGAAAATAATATTCTCTTTCAGTTCTCTTTTGTCAAATGAAGGTTGGTATTCATTTTGTCCCCTTGGAGGTACTCTTCTCTGATCTACTGTCTTTCTGTCTCCCTAGCTCATACATATTACACAGAACCATTTTAAAAATATATACTATCTACAAAGGGATCTTTTCTGTTTCCTGACCTGCCCTGAATGTCTACCACTTTGGGGAGAGGGAGAGGAGAAGAACAGAATTGCCCAGGTGCACATTTGATTTAAGATACAGAGAACACAAAAACCAATCCTCCAGAAGGAGCAGAATGGTACTCTGGAGGGCTCCTAACACTGGCCCAGGTGACCTCCGATGCACACAGTTTAATAAAACGCTGCTCAATGAGAATTAACATGTGGATGTTCCATCTCCAGAAGCGTCACAGTCTTCCATGGAAACCACATTATTCCCATACTTCCTCCCCCAATCCTCACAGTTAGGGACCAGCCTGTGGGCCCACTGCACCCAGGTGTAAACAACAGTCACAAGTTCTGTGCCAACCATCATGTTACTATATGGTGTGGTGAGGTAGCCCCCGCTCTTCATCCAGGGAAAACTCCTCACAGGAGGAACCGCCCTCACCTCTCAGGATCCCCCAGAAGAAGAGCAAGTGTGAGAAAAAGCTTTATCCAGGTTTCACTATTCTCTCCATCCTGAGATGTTCCTGAGTTAACACCATAATGAGAGAAGCGAGTTAACAAAGAAAGTACACTGGTGGGGACGTCACAGGGACCCTGCAAAAAAGCCAAACTGTTTGACAGAAGCGGAACAGACACTGCTCTGGGAGATCATTTGTGGTAGCTGATGACGGGGTTCTGTTTTCTAACGTGGACATGCAACGTATTCATCACTATGCTTACCGCAGTTTGCTGGGGAAAACACCCTTCTGTCCCACAACAAAATACATCTGTCTCAAAAACAGAAACAAAAACACATCTGTCTTATACATGATTCCTGAATATTCACCACAACGCCTAGACTCAGAAGCATGGGAAGCGTGCATGGGAACTTTCTTCACTTGCACGGACTTGGACAGAAGCAAAGCACCAGAAACTGTTTCCTTTCTGGAACTCAGTTCTGTGCGAGTGCTCACTGCCGAGCTGATTGGGCTGTTTTCATCTGCACACAATAGCAGTGATCCACAGGAAAGAAAGGAGAGGTCACCATCCCCCTCATAATATACTTTGAACAGCAGGTATACTTTGCTGGTCACATTTTAGCCATCCCAAGAAAGGACAGAAGCCTCATTCCGTTCCGAAGTCTCAGCAACTGATTTCGTTCTGTTTCCACCTCTGTCTTGCCTTGTTTATTTCATCTCCATTATTCTGTTTTTGATCATGAATCATGACTTTTTTTTCTACAGTAGTCAGAGTTTTGTCTATAAAGAGAAAGAGAGAGAGAGAGAGAGAGAGAAAGGAGGCAAGAAAATGATTTAGCAGAACTGTAAATGTGAGTTTTCATTTTGTGGTGGGTGGATTTAATATTTACTGCATTCAGTCATTTGAATTATTTGTGGTTTCTAAGGGGTTATGAGCATCTAAGGGGAAAGAAACAGTGCTATGGCTCTTTTCATACATTTCATAGCTTCTGTAAGTTGCCAGGGCCTTAATATATTTGCAAATCAGCTCCAGATAACCCTTTAGAAATTCACTTTTATAATATAGCTTTAGGCCAAAATGGCTCTACTCTCAATAATCCTTGCAAAATACTACTTGCCATACTTGAAGATAATAATGTTGACTACAGTGCGAGTATTCTCCCCCTCAAACCTAGGAGGGGGCACTATAGTAAACCCTGTGTGCAGAGACCGGGAAACCCCACTTCCCTGACTTCCTTCCTCCCTAGATTCACAGAAGTACCATGAGTCATGGAGAAGTTTTGGCCAACAGCTGAGGAAGTCTCTCTCTCCTTAGTGCAGAGCCACAGTCCCTCTAGATACACACTCTCCTACCTCTGTACCATCACAGGACTCAACTTACCGAACCATATCCATGTGCATGAGAGCCAGGTCTTAGAGGGTCCAGGGCCTCTGCCTTCCCATCCCATTGAAAGTGCCCCTCTCACTTGGCTGTCAAGACTTGTCGGATGGGTTTCCCTGGTGACAGGATCAGTTCCTCCATAAGACACCATCTCTCGCTTTGTGCCTTACCCCACGTGATGGTGCCTGAGGAGAAGCACCGCGCTTCAGCTCGGACCCGTGGCTCCAGGCTGCTGGGTGTGTAGGTGCAGGCACTGGAAAAAGGCTGTGTCCCCAGTGGGGCTCCACACTTATTCTTAGCCTGGGGCCTCTGCCTCTTCTCCCATAGAGGAGGCTGCACTTCCTCTGCAGCTCACAACGGCTCCTGAACTTTACTGAATCTCTCCCGGCTCCAGCACCATCTCTGAAGTCCCCCTTTCCTCACCACCCACCTGCTAGTCAACTTCCAAACGTCCAGACATCCTTGGCCTCTTTCCTAGTCTCAATGCCACCCTCCTCGTGCAGGCCCTCCCAACAGGAGACCTCACTTTTACATTGGTCTCCAACCCATTTCCTTTCTCCTGCTGTGAACCCCTATTTACACTGCATACCTTGTCTCACTCCAGCTCAAAAACCTTCCTCTCTCCCCACACCCACTTTGCCTACCTGCCCTCCAAGCTGACCCCAATTTACTCAGTTTCCAGGTCCTGCTGAAGACACACCCCAGGTTCTTTATGTACCTCCATCCATTTCTGTGTCCCTCTGTCCCTACTGTCCCCTCTGCTTTGAGTAGTCCCAAACCCACCTCCACCCCTGCCATCCCTTAATCCTACTCTTTATTGAAGACCCACCCCAAATATCACCTCCTTCATGATTTCCACCATGGATATCTTCTTTCTAAGACAGGCCCCCGAGGCTTATTTTTCTTGTAGGTATGTTTGTATTGCTTCATCTTATTTTGTGCTATGTGTATTTACTGTCTACTAAGAAAACAAACAAACAAAAATATTAGAAAAATCAAGAGAGGTCAATTGCCTGCATTTCCTACTTGAAAGAGACTGCGAAGTTAAAACGTAGGCAACTACAAAGCATGAAGCGAACAAGCTATTATTAGTACTAATTGATGATTTAATAAAAATAAAGAGCTGAATTCCAGCTAGTTAATGATGAGGAAAATACTACTCTGGGGAAAGAAAATCTATGAAACAGCCACATTTTTGTTTGTTTCTGTCTTTAAGACAACATCCCACCACAGATATCCAGGTGCTTGAAGCTTCTTCCTAATTTCCACTGGGACCCGTTTCATCTTTTTTTTTTTAATCACTGGTTTCTGTAAAGAAAAGGTAGAATCACCCTGAGCTTCAAAGCTTCAGTACAAACCAGGGAGCAGCATATTGACAGAATTCATGGCAGGAACTCAAGGTTATTCCACTAGAATTGCAATTGACAGGGATTATAAGAGGCTCATTGACGAAAAGAAGGGAGAAGGGAAGGCAGAGCTACTTCAAAACCATTTCATGAAATTCTTTTATATGGAAGTATTTTAGAAACTGCTATTCAATATTGTTCACAGTAATGGTGTCAAAGAACAAAAGTCATCTAAATGTGACACTTAAAAGCCATTTATGGTGATTCAAAGCAAATCCATAAATAAAGCCATCAAATTAAAAAAAAAATCCCTGCTTCTATCACATGATCACATTTGGTTTTATATTACCAGTATTTGAATACTTGTGAAAAGGTGACAAAGACTGTAATTTAGACTAGTGAATTACAATTACCAGTGAAGTATTTATAGCCTTTTCCCTGTATTCACTCGCTACCCAAGGAAGACTCCTGAGTGCCTGCCAGACTCCTGAGCCTCTCACTACGTTGATCAAGAAAATGGGGAAATATTTGGAAGTAGCAATACACAATCCAGTAGATTGTTTTTACAGGAAAGAAAGACAACTATTATATAGGAGAAAAAATAGAGCCAAGAAGGTGGAATTAGGGACAAAAGTAAAAGAGACTAGAACCCAAGCAGCCAGAGGGGAAGAAAAGAGCTAGAGAGATTGGAGGGAGCAGCCCGGAGTCTCCAGGTTGGCCAAGAAGTGTGAGCGCTAGAGAGAGAGGGTGGGGGGACAAAGGGTTCTAAGGTTTGCTGTGAGCTATGGACTGGATGCCACATTATTCTTCCAGAGACTCCAGTAGAGTTAGGACTGCTTGGGGTTATCCAACTGGTGTTTACCTGAATGCAGCTGTGCAGAGCATGGACCATGGTGGGAGTTCTGGTTACTAGTCTTTTACCAGCTACCACCGCATCTACAGCCACCCAGCCCACTGGACTGTGAGCTTCCAGAGGCAAGGACTGTCGCTTATTCATCCTTATATCCCAGACATTCCTGGCGCCATGCCTTGTACACAACAAGCCCTCAAATGTTTCTGGAGAAAACAAGCCAATGAAGAGATGCCTTACTTCCAGCCTCTAGCTTCTAATTCATTCCACATGATGCCACTAAATCAGTCTCCATGGCTTTGGTGAGTCCATTTTCCTACTTGCAGAGATTCAGTTGATGGCTTCCTTCTGCCCACACTAGGGCTTCTCAACCTTAGCACTATGGACGTTTGGGGCTGGGTGATTCTTTGCTCTGGGGGCTGCCTGTGTAAGCCAGGATGTTTAGGAACGTCCTCAGCCTCTACCCACCAGATGCCAGGAGGTCTTCCCCTCCCCCGGTTGTGACAACCAAAATGTCTCCAGACATTGTCAAATGTCCCCTGCGGGCAAAATCACCCCAGGTTGAGAACCACTTATCTACACTAAAAATCCCAAATTTCTGGGGCTGGAATGGAAGATCCTTCATAATTTAATTTATTCGACCTTTCCATTATGATCTCTAAATCTCCCCTACAACAATGCTTAGCTTTGGGCAGCCCGTCCTTTGCGTAAGGTCCCACACTGACGCCTCTATAGCAAATGTCTCCTTCATGTGGAATGCCATCTCTAGTCTCCTTTAGTTATAAATGCTTTAACTTTCACAGATGTACTCGAGCCCATATCCTTCCGGAAGTCTTCTCTGATCAGTTAGGGAAATCACTGAGTTACCTTCCTCTCTTTTGAATCCTATAGCTTTTCCTGTCTCCACTTTTCCTGTGTTCTCAACACAAAAAGAGTGAAGGAGCATGTGCGTGTTTATGTGCAGTCTGTGCAATAGAAATACATGCACTAAGGCAGGAAAGACATCATGTGTTTTCTGTATCCTCCTCAATGCCTGACACAGTTATAAACAAGAATTTAAAAAGGAGTCCCCCCACATTGGAACTGAAAAGAAAGCAGCCTGGTATAGAATTTTTTAAATAGCAGCTATTCCAACTCTCTAATTAGAAACTTCCTAGAGTTAATAAATATTTAGGCCATTCATCCCAAATGATTTTAACATTCCATAATTATAAATAAGATCAATAATTATAAATTCAAACAGAGAGATGTAATGAGGACACAGTCATTTTCTGAGGCCAGGGGAGAGCAAACTATGACCCGTGGGCCAAACCCAGCTGGCTACTTGTTTTTGTAAATAAAGTTTTATTGGTACACCACCATACTCATTTGGTTACTTGTGTCTGGGACTGCTTGCTCACTACAAAGCCAGAAATAAGTAGTTTCAGTGGAGAACGTATGGCTAGCAAAGCCTAAAATATTTACCATCTGGCCCTTCACAGTAAAAGTTTGCTGAGCCCTGTCTTAGATGAACAGGAAAGTAATACCCAAGACTCCGCATTAGCTAAAGACACAGAGGCAAATATCCTTGGATGTTATGTTGGCTGATTTACTTTTATAAAAGTCACAGTAGTGTGGAAGTTAAAAGTACATTTAAACACAGATTTAAACACAGTCCTGTGCTCAAATTCAGCTCCACATGGATGGCTGAAAAAATTATTTGACCTCCCCAACAGAATGGAGATGAAGGAACCCACCTCTCATAAAGTCATAAGGATTAAGTGACCTAATTCACATGGAGTGCTCAGCGTAATACGTGAGGGTGAATCATCAATATATGTGGGTGACTATTATTTCAAACTGGAAAGCCTGTTTGTGTGACATCTGAAAATTAGCATTTTGTAAACTATCTGAATTATGTGTGAATTATTAGCTAAAATAATCAATAAAATTATTCTCAAGTTCTTTGACTGTACAGGAGGAAAACTAACAGAGTGGTGTTTCCTAGTTGAGGATTTCAATGGTTCTTTCCTAGTTTCTATATTGGCTACTTAACTGGACCCCCGGCCACCAGTCTTTCTATTTTATCCACCCTTCCCACTGCTGCCGGGGAGACTCTCTTCAAACGCATCTTTCAGCATGTTACTCCTGGGAACTGAAACCAACATGCTTTTCAGCTCCTGTGCTAAACAACTCTGGGGCCAGGCAAAATCACCCAGTACTTGTTCCAGGAAATAGTTGTTTCCAAAAGATAAGACTGTGCACCAACCAAACAAGCTTACTCGTCAATAGTAAGACTATTAGACTTACTGATAGTTTGCTCATTAATACTGGCATCGAGGTGCCTGGATGGGAGGGGAGTTTGGGGGGAGAATGGATACATGTATATGTATGGCTGAGTCCCTTTGCTGTGCACCCAAAACTATCACAGCATTGTGAATCGGCTATACTCCAATATAAAATAAAAAATTTAAAAAAAAAAAGGCCCTCACTTAGTTACACCCACCAATCCAAAGCTATCATGTCATAACCTCTGCCCAGTCCTTACTAGTTCCCTACCTTAACATGACCCAGCCCAAGCTCTAAAACTCTATCAATATCTTTGCTTATTCCCTCCATCTGAGAAGCTATCAAGTCTCTGTCAAGGAGGTGTCCTCCTAAGCTACAGTAAGTCTAATAAACTTAACTTACTTCTACTAACAAGTTTTTTCTAAATGTCTTCTTAGAGAGCTGATGGCTAAAATCCCCAGCTCAAAACATTCCATAGCTCTTCACTCCTACAGACTCAAGTCATTTGACAAGTAGTGTTGCATAATAGCTAAGAGCACATGCATTGGAGTGATTCATACCATACCTACCACTTAGGGGCTATGTGATCTGAGGTAAGTTACTTTACGTCCCTGAGCCTCAGTTATTCTTCTGAAAATTGGGGATGCCAGAAGCACCTACTTTACAGGTAGAACGACGTACACCATGAGAGCATGTAGTAGGTGTTCAATAATTGTTAGAAATTATTACTTTTATTATCTAGTACAGTGTCAGGCACTGTACTAGATTCTGCAAACAGAAATTTGACTAAGACATAGCTCCTTCCCTGAAGGAATTTAGAATCTGGTCCCGGTGAACAAACACTAGTGGTCAATTCAGTAAGACTCTTATAGGCCTGGAAATATCCCTGGGGATATAGGTTGCTCATTGCATATATTCTGAAACCTAAGATTGTATTCTTTCTTAAAAAAAAAAAACTCTAATTTTTTACTGCGAACAATTTCATATGTACCAAAGAGTGTATATAATAGAAGTAAAAATAAATACCTGTGAAGCTATTTCACAGCTCAAGAATTAGCATATCTGTAGTCTTACAACTTTGAGTTCCTAGGACAGGAAATGATGATCTCTGGTTTCCCTTATCCATATTAAGGAGATGTTTCTGCCTCCTTCATCCTGGTGATGAGTTAGAGAACAAGCTGAGTTCCTTGAGGTTTTCAGAGTCATTTGGGGTGTATCCTAGGTTGGGAGCCCCTAGAGTCTACTGTAATCCATGAGGGCACTTTGGGACCCTGTTCCCCTGAGACAGCTGAGAGCACAGAGGTCTCCCTGGCCATCTTGATCACAGATAAAGGCAGGCTAGTATATGGAGAGTATATAGAGGCAAGACTCACATGTTGTGGGATGTAGACCCAGTGGTAACGCTAATCACTGTGGGATATCTCACTTGCCAGGACTCAGTTACCTCTTCTGTCAAATGAAGGGATTGGGCAAGATGACTGAGGAGGTCCCTCTAAGCTACCACCGTCCATGGTTCTCTGGTCTATTCCAGAGAACCATGTTCAGTGAAGAGGGATAACTCTTCTCTCACATTCAACACTGATCTGCTCTCTCTCTCACCAGCACCTTCTATTTCCACAATCCAGTTTCTTCCCCTCAGCTTTCAAACATGAAGATATCTCCTCTACCTCAAATTTAAAACAAGGTCTTCACTGGACCTGCCAACTTTGCTATATTGTCTCCTTCCTTCTTTACAGTGCCAAATTCAGTCATATGTGTGTTACATGTAAAACCCATTTCCTTATCACCACTGGCCCTTTGTGGTCCTTTTTTGGATCCCAATGCCCACTGTAATTGCTTCTTGGAAAGCTACTAGTGCTTCCCAGACAAACTCAGCAACTCTCTATCAATTCCCAACTCCTAAAGATGGGTAGTACTTTCTAAAAGCTCTGTAGTTTTCAAGACTTTGCTCCATCCTGGCATCTCCCCACACGAACCATTCCATACTGCCCCAGACTACTCGGGCCCTTCTCCCACCCTCCTCGTGCAGGCCCTCCTGACAGGAGACCTCTCTTTTACATTGGTCTCCTACCCACTTCCCTTCTACTTACACGGCATACCTTGTCTCACTCCAGTTCAAAAACCTTCAGCTCTCCCCACACCCACTTTGCCTACCTGCCCTCCAAGCTGACCCCAATCTACCCAGCTTCTAGGTCCTGCTGAAGACACACCCCAGATTCTTTATGCACCTCCATCCATTTTTGTGTCCCTCTGTTCATGCTGTCCCCTCTGCTTTGAGCAGCCCCAAACCCACCTCCACTCCTGCCATCCATCCCTTAATCCTACTCTCTATTCAAGACCCACCCCAAATATCACCTCCTTCATGATTTCCACCAGTGAAGGACGAGGTCATCAAAACAGTTTTACTGGATCTAAGAGTAATAGCAACTAAAATGATAATGTTACAAGAATCAGAGCTATAAGGACCTAAATAACATCCAATTTACGGAGAAAGGATAAAAAACATCACCTTCCTTGTCAGCACTGACATCAATTGCAATTCATCAGCGAATCAGTCTCTTCTTCCAATCCAACTAAAAACCTATCTTTGGCTTTTGGAATTCTACTGGGTGGAAGACTGGAGTCTACAGTATTCTAAATTCAAATCTGATACGCTTAGTAGAAAATAAGCTTGCTACTGATTCTGGAAGCTTTCTACGATGTGCTTCCAAAAGGAGTCCCATATAAAGGTTGGGGGGATAGAAGGAAAACAGTGATAAATGACCTTACAGCACAAGCTCAGGTCTCTCAGGCCTCTCGGCAAGCTTCAGGGCCTCGTGCATGCCTGCAGCCGAGAGCTTCCGGTTAATATTCCGGTACTGGCACTGGAGCAGGCTGCGGTAGGTGGTCCTCAGGTCCCGGTTGAAGAAGGCATATATAAAGGGGTTAATGAGAGAGTTTGCATAGCCCAGCCACAGAAATGTCCTCTCCACCCACAGCGGGATGCAACTGCACGCGGTGCCACAGATGAAGGGTCTGGCCGTCGAGAGGAGGAAAAACGGCAGCCAGCACACAGTGAAGGCCCCGACGATGATCCCCAAGGTGGTGGCCGCTTTCTGTTCCCTCTTAAAGATGGAGATGTTTTTCCGTTCATGTTTGAGGAGTCTCGAAAGGTTTGCACACTCCTCCACCTCCTTCTGGAGCTTCACCATGCCGTTCAGGGAGACGACGCTGTCGGGCTCCACGGGACGCGGGAAGCCGGGGAACTTGTGTTTGGCGGCGCTCTTCCTGGCGGCCTTGTAAATCTGGTAGTACATGAAAAGCATGACGGACATGGGGATGTAAAACGCCACTGCGGTGGAGTAGATCGTGTAGCCAAAATCCTGGCTGATCAAGCACACCTTGTCATCATTTACGTTCTGAGCCCAGCCGAAGAGCGGTGGTAAAGTGATGGAGGCGGACAGAAGCCAGACAGAGAGGATCATCTTGGCCATGCACTTCCCGTTCTGTCTCACGGGGTACGTCAGCGGCCTCGTGATCCCAAGGTACCTGGGAGAGAAATGGAAAGAGAACACGTGACTGCCGTGATCACAGCAGATCCACTGGGGAGTACCACCAGCCAGGGACTAGGCTGGGTACCTAGTAGCTCTCTTCTTCACACAGCCCTTCCAGATAGGCATCATTATTCCCATTTCATAGAAAGGTAAACTAAGACTCTGAGAGGTTACCTATTTTTTTCCAGGTCACACAGTCAGCCAAAGGCACTGCCAGCATGTCCATGCTCTTTTCATACCTTGTAGCTTCTCACAGACTGTGCAGTCAATGAACTATAGATTCAACATATGCCTTCCCCCCCCACCATGATCACTGCCACTGAAATCAGCCAGGAACAAAATGTCAGGCCTGATGGGATGTTGTGACGCATCCTCGTGAGTTAGCCAAGCTCTACCACACTCGGATATTACACACCCACTGATCTCCTCTGTTGTCTTAATTCAGGCCAGCTCTGAATTCATTTTCAGTTCCCCTTTGCACTGAAATGAAAGCACTTCTTTAAGATCAGAGAGAGCTGTGAGATATTTAGGAAATCCTAGGGTTTTGGAATGGAAAGTAGCAAGTGATCATTTTTTTATCCCCAGAAAATTCTCACGCAAGAGTTATGTCCAAGGAACAGTCTATGAAACGAAAGCAGCCTGCCTCGTCTCTCCAGTTCTAAGGAGGATCACAAGGAAGGGCATAATTCTGAAAAATATTAGGCAAATTCTGTGCTTAGTTCTGTATAGAGAATAGATATTTCTCTGTCTCTGTTATCAAGGATTTATAATGCAAAAGAGACTCAGCAAACAGAGAAAACACAGTCGGCAAGATGTTCTGTCAAATGCTTGGTACTTTTCTGCTTTCCAAATTTGTTTTCTCCTCTGTATTTAATAGTCTTAGCTTCTATTTGAGGGAGGATTCAGAGCACGTGAGAAGCTAAGATAGGTAAAAGCTGGCCATTTTGTTGGTTTTCTACTTCATTTATGTACATAAAAGAAACACGTGAAACACGAAAAGTTATTTTCTGAAAGTAGGTCACTTGGTGGTTTGGAATTTAAAAAATAATTATTTTTGTGATAGAAATAGCCTCACATGTTACGTTTGAATTATTTCACAAAAGTCGCAAATCATGCTTTCACGATGAAAATTAGCATCAATGCAACACTTACAAGGCAAAATTGAAATACAGTAAAAAATGAATAAGCCAGATTTGCTTATACAGTGCGAGTATTCATTCCATCCTTCAACAAGTATCAATAGAGTTCCTTCTATATGCCCAGATGCCATTTTAAATGTTGGGAATATGGCAGTGAACAAAAGAAACAAGAATCGTGAATGCAGGCACATGGGGAGATCATGCAGGGGGTGAATGGGAGGACTGAGCCTCGTGGTAACGTTGAAGGGACTTCTGATCCCTTCTCCCAAGGATGCAGGGGTTAGTGGTACCAGTTCTTCATTTCACCTCTGCCTTCCCTTGTCCTTGATAAAGCTGACTCACAAGCACTATCTCTAGGTTTTTCAGCTGTAACTAGGATTATGTTTTGGTTCCTGGATAGAATGAAGGACGAGAAAGAGGAAGGTTCTACTGAGAACTCAAAAATAAGAGCTGAAAAGGAAGGGAAAAGAGAAAAGGAAGTGGGAAGGAGGGAGCAAGGGAAGAAGAGGGGAAAGATAGAGAGAAGGGAAGTGTGAAGTAGCCTCGACCTTATGTGGAATTGCCAAATTATCTGAGTTTTAAGCTATGGGGAAAAAAAAAAATTTAAGGAAAAGAAAAGAAAAAAAAAGGTAGATGAGGAAAGCCCTGAAGAAAGGTGTTAGAACTGATTGCACGCTCACAATTAAGCTCATCCCTGCCCTGAGGCTGAATGCAGAGTTTCCACCAAAAAAAACACAAAAAACAAAACCTCCCCTTCTTTGCTTTGGTTCAGGAGCTCTCTCCAAGTTTTTCCTGCTGGAACTCCTTTGCAAACCTCCCTTTTTGGACCTAATCCTTACTCTCTATCAACTCCTGTGAATGGAGCCTTTGGGCTCCTTCCCAGATTCCCCAGGCAGCCTTTGCCAGGGCTTGGACTTTGATTATTTTCTCCCTTTGCCTGTAGTCACAGGCATAAACTGCTTGTTCCCAAGCCTGGACCTGGCTTCCAGGATATTGTACCAACCCGGGTTGGAGGTCCAATGACAGCGATTAGTTCATATAGTTTCCTAGGTGGCCACCAGATGGCACTGTCAGACCATCTTACATCTACTTACTGGGGGGTTGGGATGGTAGGTAGGTAGAGCAATACTGTAGGTGTTTGCTGGAAGGAGGAAGAAGGAGGATTACTCATGACAAGAAAATAAATTATATTGTATTTGGGGGGGTCATACAAAAAATTAGCAAGCCTGGAACTCACAACCTGGTAAACTCCAATTCTTGAGGAAGTCAGTTCCGTTTTCCCTTCCATCCTTCACATTTTCATTACTTAAATAGGGACTTATATCTTCAGGCTTACTTAAATCTAGCCTCTCTCCTGCTCACATAAGTAATATCAAATCTACAAAGATTAATCCTGAGAGATTAATTAATTGAGTATCAAATGACATCTCAGAGTATTAAATAATCTCATAAGAATGACATACTTATTCATCCTAATATATTTAGTCTGACTTACATTACATTTCAGTGATGAGGACTCAGTCTTTCCTGGATATACAAATTATATTCCATAAACTTCCCTATTTTAGGCTCCATTCTCTAACAGCCTCAAGTAATGTCTTACAGTAAAGGGAATTATATTTTCTTCTTTAGTCTCCTGGATACCACCTGGGACTTTTAAAGGCTAAAACCAACCAAAAGATGATCAGAAAAAAAATGAGTGCTCATTAAAGTGTCTGGAAATAAAATAAATAAACAAAAGTCAACAACTTTCTGAAAAAGGATTAACAATCAGAAAATATCATGGAAGAAAATAATTTCATTCACAGCAACAATCAAAAAATTAAAATATCTAGAAAAATCTTTTTAAATGACCAGGGCCTATACGAAGAAAACATAAAATGATACCGAGAGACCTAAGGGAATGCCTGAATCCATGAGAAAAAAAAACTTTTAATAAGAAAATCTAGTATTACAAAAGTGCCAATTTTCCCTTAATTAATATAAAAATATATAACTCTAGCTGAAAATCTTAGCATTTCTTTTGTTAGTCCGACCTAATGATTTTTAAGTTCATCAAGTAAATAAGCAAAAACAGACAAAATCTGAAAGAGATGAAAAATGAAGGGATGCTTATAAAAAAAAGTATAAAGCCACAGAAATAAAAATTCAATAATAATTATTCAAAAATAGACAGATCAATAGAACAAAAGAGATCCCAGAAGTATATTCAAATATATAAGGGAATTTTAATATCAGAAAGCAAGTCATTTTAAATCAGAGTAAAAGATTAGATATTCATGAAGTCTGACAACTGGCTAGCAATTGGGGTAAAAATAAATCTGAATTATCTTTCTCCTTATTCAAAAATAAATCCCAGATGGATCAAAGATGATCATGTAAAAAAATTAAACCCTAAGACTACTATGAGGAAATATAGGTATTTCTGCAATCCGGCCAAAGGTCATTGTTAACCATGATACAGAAGCTTGAAACTATCAAATGATGCATCGATAAATTTTTGACAAAAATTGTATTAAATAAATAAATAAATAAATGACATTTAGTTTAATTTTTAAAAAATCACTACATACAGAATTAAGTCAAATGACAAACTTGCAGTCCAAATAACAATATCTCAACATTCACTGATCTCTTACAAGTCAGTAAGAAAAGGCAACCATCTCAACAAAAATAGTGAAGCAATTAAACAAAAAAGAAATAAGAATATCCAGTAAGCACTCGGAAATATGTACAACTTCATTAATAATTAAACATATACAAATTTTAAAATAAGGACAAGTGCTCTATCATTTTGCTGACAGGAGTTTCAACTGAAATAACAGTTTTGGAGGGCAGTTTGGTAATTAATATACATTAACATTTGCTTTTTGGCTCAGTCAGGTTTCTAGGAATTTGTCCTGGGAATATAATTGTACAGGTGCAAAATGATTAACGTGCAAGGAAGGATGTTAACTAAACATATAATAGAGGAGAAAAGAGATGCAAGCTAGATATCTATCAGCAGATTAAAGTATAGTGTGTGTGTGTATATATCATGTAACCATTAAAAATTATGACGTATATATCTATTTACTTATATGAAAACAACCCAACCAAAAGTAGACAGAAAACAATGACTAGCCCTAAAGGACAAGAAACAGAGTATCATATATTCTATTAACCTGTTTATGTAAAACTAGGTGTTTGTATGGGTGTGTGTGCATGTATATATACTGAGATGTCTTGGAAAATATCCACCAAAATATTAATAGCAATTTTATCTGAGTTGTAGAGATTTGATTAGTTTAAAATTTTTTCTCTTTGCTTTTTTATGCATATTTTTTTAACTATATAATTTTTAAAAAGAATTCTAAGAACAAAATGAAAGGTTTAAGAGAATTCTTAAGTCCTAAGTCACATAAGTGATTTTGGCAACACAGATGATCTGGTGCATAAAATCTGTAAGAAGCTGATAATTAATCTTAGATAGTTTTATTTGATTAGCTTTTCAAAAGTGTTTTATTACATTCACAAGTTCACACAAAGAAAACAGAACTCACTGGCATTTAAAATCCCATAATTACTACATAAAGTAATATTGGTATTCAGGGAAGTGTTTGTCCAAATTACAAATTCATTCTCCCTAATCTTGGATAGTATAAACCTGACCTTTCGGGGCGGGGTGGGGGGAAGCAACCTAGATTGATTCTAAATATTCCCTAATATACATGGTTAACATTTGTCACACTAGCATTTTATGCTCACTGTTAATTAGAAAGTGCTGTGCTTATAAAGCCTTCAGAATTTTACTTTAAAATGCATACAAATGTGAAAGTACAGTAAATCTCAGAGACAAAGGCACCAAAGTATTATA